GGAGAAAAGATTGAAGTTGTCAAGGACTTCATTCTTCTTGGATCAACTATCAACACTCATGGAAGCAGCAATCAAGAAATCAAACGACGTATTAGGCAGATCTGCTGCGTAAGACCTTTTGAAAATGTTGAAGAGCAAAGATGTCAGCTTGAGGACTAAGGGTATGCCTGACTCATGCCATGGTATTTTCAATAACCTCACATGCATGCAAAAGCTGGACAGTGAATAAGGAAGACCATAGAAGAATTGATGCTTTTGAGTTATAGTGCTGGAGGAGAATATTTAAAGTACCATGAATTGCCAAAAAGAACCACCAGATCTGTGTTGGAAGAAGTGCAGCCAGAGTGCTCCTTGGAGGCCAGGATTGCCAAACTTTGTCTTCTCCAGGGTCCAGTCGCTAGAGAAGGATATCATGTTTGATAGGGTGGAGGTTCAGAGAAAAAGAGGAAGACCCCCAGCAAGATGGATTGGAAAGTGGGAGCAGCAATGGGCTCAAGCGTGGCTACAATAGTGAGATTGGCCCAGGACTGGGCAGTGTTTCGTTCTGCTGTGCGTAAGGTCGCCATGAGTCCGTACTGACTCAATGGCACCTAACAACAACAACAACAACAAATAACAGACAAGCAGTATTTAGTTTTATAGGTATAATGGAAAGCCTAATTTTGGGAGTTCTGAAGGTGAAAATTCAACCAAGTCATAAAACTTCCCATGGACCTTGTAAAATTGTCTACTTTCTTTGAGCAGATGAGATGCATGTGCATGTTAACAGGGGACCATCTCACATCAGATGAACAGTGAAGAAGTCATTACATTTCTAGAATTGAAAAAGCCCTAGTTTTTTACACTATGTTTATTATGGTGTCTTAAGGTTAAGGTAGGCAAAATGTTCTATACTATCTTTTACCTTAACCCTTTATTTAGTTTAATGTTTTAGTAGGGTTGTATTCATTTATTTCAACTAAGAAAATTAACATCACAGAAAGTTATCTACAAATACTTGCAAATGTACATCTACAACAATAATATTTTTATACACATACTCCAAAGATAAGCCTGGCTCACCGCTGCAAAAAAACATAAGACGGAATACATTTTTAAATGGAGGAAAAAGAACAGAGATTCCTAAAAGGAGGTGGTTGGAGAAGGTAAAAGATGCTTTAAGCTATTATAGTACCTCTTACTTAGGACTCTTCTCATATGGGTAAAAGGTAATGTAAGAGCTAGAAAAATCTTTTACTTCTCCAACTCCCAGACCTATCTCCTTCAGGAGTCTTTGTTCTTTATTTATGACTCTTTTCATATGGGAATCCTGGGGTGGCAATGCCAGATAAGCACTGGATTACTAACCACAAGGTCAGAAGTTCAAACCCAACCAAACACTACTTAGAAACTCTATACAAGTCCTATACAACTCTCTATAAGTTGGAACCAACTCAATATAGCACTTAACAACAACTTCCTACATGGGCCGCTTTATATCAAGTTGTTGTGGTAGTTTTCCCCCACTGGTACCTCTAGATCGTTTACAGAAGATTAGGCATTATATAAAGAAGAAACACTACATCAGAATAGAGAGCAGAACCAAAACTCAGCTTTCTCAAGTTTTTCTATTGAGTTATATTGTCTTATGCATATATATAGTCACTCCATTTCTTGCCATTACATCCCATAATGTAAAACATTCTAAGAATGATGAATTGCAATAAACAGAATTTATAAGATTCAAATGGTCTTAAGGCACAAACATGAGCTAAGTTTTGAAAACCCAAAAACTTTATTCTACAAAATCCCAGGGTCTGGTACAGCTGCTTCCTATTTGATGTACAGGTCAGTTAAAAATACACATAATAATATGTACTAAAAATGCAATAGAAAAAAGTATTTATTCTAAAATGGGTTACAGTATATACTGGAAATCACCAAATGGTAATTTTGTCACTTTGGAGTAAGCCTAGGAATGTAGCTTCTCTTGGCATATTTGTATGTTTACTTAAAGTTTGTAAAAAATGAGTATCTGATTAAGATTTATTTCAGCAGGGAAGGGATGACAGTCCTGTGCAAGTATACATATATGTACCATAATAAATTAATATTACTGAAAAGTGCCGTCGAGTCAGTTTCGACTCATAGCAACCCTATATAGGGGTTCTGAAGGTCAGCTGGTGGGTTTGAAGTTATCAGTCCAGTGTTTGCACTATAGCGCCACACTAGGACTCCACCACAGTAAATTACATGCCAGGAAATACTGAGGCATTTGTGCTCTACGTGTTGTCACAGTATAAATCAGATGTGACAAATCAATATATTTATGTTAGAGACTGCAACCACTGTTAGTAAGTCAACTTTCAAGCTTGAAAGAAGTCAGAGTTCATCTGTGGTTATCTTAGAGGGCAATGTGAGCTAAGGACAACTTCAATCTTATATGCGTTATACTTCTGTAATGTTTACATCTTAAAAATACAAGTAAGTATTTATTAAAGATTTTAACTGCTGAAAACCAAGGAATGAGTACTTTCTCCTTAGTGCCCAACTGAGACAAAATACAGAAATAAACTAAAGGCCAAATGTGGATTAAAATGTGTTCCCCCAAAAGGTGTTTCAGTCCTAACCTCCAGTACCAGTTAATGTGCCCTTAATTTGGGTAAATAGGGATTTTCTTTGCAGATTTTATCAGGGAATGAAGTCATACTGGTGTCGGGTGGGTTCTTCTGAGCCTAACTCCATCTGAGTATTAGGGTCACATTCAAAGGTAAGATGGCTTGCCAAGATCTACAAGCAAAAGAATAACAAGGATTGTAGATACCCACTAGAAACCTGGAGAGGTATGGAACCGTTCCTGTCTGAAAGGTCCCCCTAGTGAATCAATGGCTTGAGACCCTGGACTTAAAGACTTCTAGACTCCAAAACTGTGAGAAACGGTCTGTTCCTTAAAGTCACTCACTTAGTGGTATTTTATTAATGTAGCCCCAGATAACTAAGAAAAGTCTTAAAAACAACCTCATCTTATAAACTGATTTCCTACCTGTAAATAATACACTATTTAACTTATCAAAAACAAATCTATTAATAATACTACTTTTATCTGCTTTATTTTATGTAAGAAGTTTGACAATAAAAAAACAGAACCAATTCCATGGCTAAAAATGCTTTTGAAACCCAGCATGATATACAATTAGGAGTTCCACTTCAGGAGTCCAGACTTTGTTATTCTTCTACTTAGGCTTAAATTCCAGCTCCAGGGCTTATTGTGTGGGAAGCTTTGGGCAAGTTTCTAGATCTCTCTGAAACCCAACCTTCTGCATCTGTAAAATATTAGTCAACAAAAAGTAGCTGTTTTACAGGGTTGTTCTGAGAACTGAATGAGATAAATCAAGTATTTAGCGTAAGGTTTAGCTATTGAATAATCACTGATCTACATACAAATGAGATGGGTGAGTACTGATAGGTGAACATTTCAAATCATCAAAATCTTCATTGGAGTGTTTATTAAGCTAATATTTGTTATTTAATTAAATATTTAATGAAATCTCATTCTAAAATGGATTTACAGTATCTTAAAAGATAAATCCAATGTAATAAAATAATACTTAAAATAAGAAATGTATAAAATAAAAGTAGATAACTAAGCTGATGACAAGATTAAATCTATTTATAATATAGAACATATAAATGTCCATATAACTAGTATAGACTGGACAAACATTTGGCTCTGTGTTTCTCAGAAGCATCAACAAAAGGAAGTTATCATTATTAGACTCATTTACCGGGAAATACATAACATTTCTTAGTACTACGAGAATTTCTTAGGAACTTTATGAAGGTCACCAGTATCACATTGTAAATGGTGGTTCTGAAGTAGGAGAAGTACCTTGGTACCTACATACTTTACTCACTTCTCATGTCCAAGAGGCCACTTGCAAATTGGGTTGGATATTTTCTCTTCTCACAGCAGTGGGAGACACTAATTTCACATCACACAAAATATTATCTTGAATGTCCTGGTGTGGCACTGTAGGATAAGACTAAACTGCTAAACACAAGGCTGGTAGTTCAAATCCATCAGCTGCTCCTTGGAAACCTTGTATAGGGTCGCTATGAGTCTGAACCAACTCGACTTAACAACTTAAAATAACTTCTGGCCTATTCAATGAAGAACAGTCCTAATTCCAGATGTCGAGAGTTGAGAAGATCCATGAAGCTCTCTCAACGTTTGTTTTACATACAGAGCGCACTATCAAGCCTTTTCTACACTTTTTCTTAAAATTGCAGGCTGAATGTGTAACAAACAAATTATGTTTGACAAAAGCAATTATATGACAGGCTTAAAAACTACATGCCAAGAATATATAGGTCTCTTTCAGTTCAAACACAAATTGTAGAAAACCTAGATGTATATATGAATTTAGGAGTGGAGACTAGGAATGCTATTTTTAAGTAGTCGTTGAACACTTTATATTTTTTTAAACTGAGCTTTCAAACAGGAATAAAAAAAGAAGAGATTAGAAATTTTAGTTCTCTCAAGTTCTTAGATATGATTTCAGCCATGCAGGTGATCTGGTCGGCATCTTCATAAGTTTCAGGAAATTAATCAGAACCACTCCAGTAATCATAAGATAACAAAAAGACTGAAGATGCAATTTTTTTTTCTTAGAAAACTAAGTTTATTTAAACACAAGGATAAAAAGGTAAGAGAAATCTTAATTTTTTTGTTAAGAGTAGATTACTTTTTTTTAAAAACGTGCCTTTATTATTTTTGTTTGCCTTTTTACAAACAGATCTCCAATCCACTAAATATCTGAGAGATAAAAATGGAGTCGGTCCAATTGAAGTAGAGAAGTTCCAGCATCTTCACCACTTGGCATCTTCCTATAGCAAGTTCTTGAACACTGTACAAAGCCTCAGGTTTCTGTGAAACACTGTCTAAAAAGACAGTCCTACGCCACAGAGTCATGGTCATTCCATTAAAATATTTGAGACCTGTAAGGTATATGCATCAGGAAGGACTATTAACATCCACTTGCCCCAAATCAACAGCAGGCCTACTAACAGTGCAAAGTACTTTGAAGGTACCCACTTCCCTAGCATTTAAAAATAAAATCTAAGATAAAAATCTTACACCAAACATCAACATGGTACAAATAGCAGAAGAGATTCAAGCATTTATTTAGAAAGACGAGAGTCCACTACATCATTTTAAATATAATTTAAAATGAAACAATGCAGGATCAACACCACAAACAAAAAGCATATTTTTATAGATTCAGAAGGTATAATTTGTACTCTATGTTTGGCCCCATCATATATATATTCAATGGCAATGATTTACTAGGATATGGTAGTTAGGACTGGCTGTTATGTTTGACCATAGAAATCTATCTGGTCAACAAAGCCTTAGTCACAACACAAATATACAAAAACCAACTGAGTTAACTGGTTTACACATATTAACAACAACAAAAAAAGAATTGCTTCAGTAATAAATTAGGACTTAATATTTTTACCTCTTCTTCCTCAGTTTCAGATGTGTTAAGTTCATGTTTCTGACAGTAAGGACCTTCTTTCCAAGCTTCAGTATCACCACAGTCACAGAAACCACCACCTCCTGATGTCGTCATCTTGAGGGAAAAAAGTATATAAGGTATGTCGTCAATAAGTAGTTACTAAGGGCTATCAGAGTATAAATAAAAATATCAAGTGCTAGGAAACATCACTGCCTAAGTGTTTGATTTCTCTGGAGGAATACTTACCCACATTAAATATCAACATTTCAGTATTTTAAAATTTATTTTTAAGAAGCCTATGCGCTTACAATAGTGAATAATTGTTATCAGGACTGACTGTGAAGGTTGGAAATGTAAAGGTGGACATTTTGTAGCAAAAGAAGGGTAGCAAAAGGACGGGAGTGACTGACTTTGCAGTCTAGAAGCGGAGGTCCCTGGGACCATTAAGGGAGAAGAAGAGTGTGAGACCCTACCCAGAGAAACAGTGATGCCAGAGCTGGAGGCAGACACGATGACGTGGAGAGATGGAGCAGCTGGGAACTCTAGACCCAGAGAGGGAGAGGGGCTGTGTGCTGACAACTGGAGGGCAGGCTTTCAGGGTATACCCTTTGGTTGGTTGATGATGCATGGAGGGGATTGTAACCATGGCAATGAAATGATATATGATAGGATGAATGTAAAGCTAATGTTCTCCCGTGTAAACGATCACATAATTCACACACACACACACACACACACACACACACACACAAAGCCTATGTGCTGATCTAAGTGATTTCAAAATAAAATTGTTACATTATAGTGTCTAGTAAACTATGACTATTGTAATGAGGTATGTCCATGAAGACAATTTTTTTGAATAGGAAAATCACAAGGACCATGATGGCTTTTCCTACTGGGTTTTGGGCTACACTGGTATGTTGGTTGGTATCTATGCTAAAAAGTTGTGGTGCTACTGTGCAGTATAAACAGATTCACAGGCATAAAGATTCCTATAGCTCCTGTCCATTTCTTAGAGAAAGTGACCAACAAAGACTACAGAAATAGTTTCCTTTACTTCTATTTCCTAAATAGCCACTCTTTGAAATGTTAGGCAGTTGAGGCTCAGGGAATAAACAAAACTGGACTGCTTGGTTAAAAATACAACAACACATGGGGTTCAATAATTACTCATAATTCCTTATGATATGGCAGGGATTCAAGGAATCTAGTAAAATGTTATTAAGTGTCGCTGAGTCAGTTCCAACTCATAACAATCTGGTATAGGGGTTTCTGAGGAGCAGCTGGTGGGTTTGAACTGCTGACCTTGTGGTTCACAGTCCAGTGGTGATCCTACAGTGCTACACCAGGAGTCCTGCTCTAGCAAAATAGAACTTATTAATTAATAATTGGTAGGCTGGAGATTCTGCTTTTCTTAAAGTAGTGTAAGGAAGAGCTTTAGAATGATTATTAGATGCAGCAAATTTTAGAATGAGTCCTATCCAATTCTCTCCAAAGGAAGAATTTGTATGTTACATTTCATAATATAATTAATGTAACTTCCACATACTAGTTATTGCCAAGAGCTGCAAAAATATAACTAAGAAATGTGGGCAGTCATATAGAAAATGACAATGCTACCCTCCATCTTATACGCTTGTTTCTGTTACCAAACACAAGTATAGAGCAGATGAAAGGAAACTGGAATTCTCTTACTGATTTATGAGAGCAAAGAGAACATACAAGAATATAAGGAGCTTAATTTTGTAGCTGATTTTGTTCATTATTATTAACATACAAGTAGAGTAAATAAAAACAAATAGGAGGAAAAGTCCTGAATCCAGCAGTTTTTGTTCATTAAGAACAAGAATGTTCCATTCCTTTCCTACCTTTTCATTTGAGAAGAGGGTGAAAAGTTCCATTAAACAACAGTTCTCTAACCTCTAAGTCTTCAAGGCTTTGTCTTCAGTTTCCAGTACAGGAACCAGGATAGACTCAGGAGCAATCTGCCCTTATTTGTATCCCTGACTTAAAAGCAAATTTACTTTGTTTTTTAAATACATCAATGCATTACAGAAGTGAAAGAAAAATGAAATAGGTGAGTCTTGTGCTTTGGAGTTGGACCCTCTCCTATACTGTACCAGATGCCTAGTTCTTATTTAAAAATGACAACTCTTCTCTAAAAGAAGACCAATAGAACATTTTTTAAATGTATGAGGGTAAGTCAAAAAGTACTGCTACAAAATTATGGAAACCTTTATTAAATAAAAGTATCAAAATATAAAGTTATTGTTCCCTGACATATACTCCGTGACTAGGTATATACACTTATGAAAACAGATTTCTCTCATCCTTCCCTGAAGAATTCTGTGGTCTGTGATTTACATCACATTAAAACAGAAGTGCTGGTTGGCATCCTCAAGGGACTCAAACTGTGTTCCTTTCCAATGTTTTTTAAGTTTTGGGAACAAAAGGAAGTCTGAGGGGGCAGTTTCCCAATGAAATTCTCATAGGCTAGCTTTTGCTACAGAGATGGAAAATAATTCCTTGAAATTATTAAAATAAAACAAGTTTCTTTTGCTTACCAATGCAATTTTTAATTTCTTAAAACTTCTTTATAAGAAGCCCCCATGATTATCCTGTGTTCTTTGAGAAAATCTATCAAGACGACTTCTTTTATAATCTTGATCATCTTTGAAATCTTAAAATGCTTAATCCTCTAAAAACTGTTATTTTATGTGGGGCCACCTTTCCATAAATTTGCTGTAAAGTCTCAATGATTTGGAAATATATCCACTTGAGTTTTGTTAAAAATTTGAGATCAATCCTGGCCCTCAAAATTATCTTTTTCCATTGCACAAAAAGTGTCCCTTTTTTAAGGCAACCTAATTAGACTAAGCCAAGTGTCTTACTGAGAGAACTTGTCATCTACTGATTGCAAAGACATGTTTCAATCTGTTTTGTTTGTAATAAACCAGTGCATGTATGAACTGGAACCCTAATAGCAATATTTTTCACTTACTCTCTTATAATCATCATAGCACTTTTGCTTATTCCTTTTCTTACACATTCTCCCTTTAAAACGTCATACTCACAACTGTTTCTTTTATCCTCTACTTTTTAATAACCCTTTTCATACACGAACAATTACAAAAAACAAAAAACAAAAAACAAAAAAGCAAAACACAAAGAAACTAGCTGAAAACCAATGCACAAAAGCTGATACCTGACTGTCATTCTTGAAGACAAGTGTCCCAAGACTGAATTCATAATTCATTTCTTATACCACCATCATATTTTTACAATGATATTTAATAATACATTGTTCAAACAACTCTGCTCCTCCTTTTATATGTTAAATCTTTGGGTTTTTAAAGGAAGAAAAGATATCCCAAATACAATTCAGTACTGAGAATGACTGCAGTCTTCATATTACTAACCCTGTATCGATGATCTCTGTGGACACTTCCCAAAAAGCACTCCATGCATAAAACACAAGTTGGATCAACTGCACAGTCTCTGTAAAGTTAAAGAAAAAAAAAATCAGAATCTCATAAAGTAACTGTGTATTTCACAATAGAATAAATTCACACTGGAACTCATCCTAGAAGAACCAGAATAATGAAGTTTTTAGTGTTATAAGAGACTCATAGTGACCCTGTTTAGGGTTTCTGAGGAGTAGCTGGTGGGTTAGAACTGCCAACCTTGCAGTTCAAACTGACCTCATGGTCCGGCACACATTACCCTGCAGCACCGCAATGCAGATAGCTAATGTTTTATTTAGGATCCTTTTCTCTAAAGTAATTTTAAAATGACTTTATAATGTCTCCTCCTTTTGTACTGAATTTTGGAATCAAGATTAATTACACTGTGTCATTAAAAAAAACACAAAAGAAAAACAAGGGGGGTGATGCACAGCTTTTGCTTTTTTCTGGCTTTCAGTAGCAACCTGTTGTTATATGCTGTTGAGTCAATTCCAACTCTTAGCTATCCTGTAAAGGATTTCTGAGCTTGTAAATCTTCAAGGGAGCAGAAAATCTCATCTTTCTCCCACAGAGCAGCTGGTGGACTTGAGCCACTAACCTTGTGGTTAGAAGCCCAGTGCTTATCCTACAGAGCCAAAGCACTCCCTTTGGCACATTTGTTGTTACTGAGTGCTGCCAAGTCAGTTCCGACTCACAGCAACCTTGTATACGGTTTCCAAGGTGATTTTGAACAGCCGACCTTGAGGTTCAAACCAAACTTTCAGACCAGTGCTTATCCTATAGTTCCACACCAGGACTCCAGTAATTTTCCATGGCACCTCAAGACCAAAAGATAAATCATCTGCTTATCAAATAGGCTAAAAAACAACTTAGCATATATTGTGCACTACCCAACTCTGGTAGCGTAGTGGTTACGAATCGGGCTGCTAACCTCCAGGTCGGCAGTTTGAAACTACCAGCGGTTCCACAGAAGAACGATGAGACAGTCTGCTCCAGTAAAGATTTACAGCCTTGGAGGAGGTCTTAGCAAGAGCTATACGGCAAGATAGGGAAATTAAAGGCATCCAAATTGGCAAAGTGGAGGTAAAGCTCTCCCTAGTTGCAGACGATATGATCCTATATATAGAAAACCCCAAAGACTCAGTAAAAAAGCTAC